CGTGTCGCGTGCCTGTCTCAGCGTGTCACGTGTCTGTCTCAGCGTGTCGCGTGCCTGTCTCAGCGTGTCACGTGCCTGTCTCAGCGTGTCACGTGTCTGTCTCAGCGTGTCGCGTGCCTGTCTCAGCGTGTCACGTGCCTGTCTCAGCGTGTCACGCACGTGGCCGCCCTCTCTTCTTTCCAGCATCACGAGCCAGCGTTTCCAGGACATTGCTTCCCGTGCCTCCAGGAACGACTGACTGCTTGAGGAGTGGCACTTGCCGTTTATTGCCCTTTGTGTGGCCCGGCTTGGTGCCTCTGACGTACGCCGTGGCTGACAGAAGCCCTGGGAGGGAGAGAGGGAGGAGAGGCGCACGCGATGCGCACAGCAGCGGCAGCAGCAGGCGCTTGCTGTGTTCATCGTCTGCACTGCCTCTTGGCCTCTTTCGCCACACATCGCGCTGTTTCACGTCGGATTCGGGTTTTTTTTTGGGTTTGTTGGCACATTGGTCCTCGTGACAAAAGCACAGTTGACTCATTGCGCGCGCGTTCCTTGATTTCTAATTTTGTTAATAAAATAGAGAAAAACGAACGCGAGTTATTTTTTTTTTTGTAACGGGCTGGAATTTCATTTCCCACCGTATCGCCGTTCTCTGGTGGGGGAGGAGAGAGCCCCTGATAATAATTAAATAACATTTAAAATAAATTAAACATTTCTTAAGGGGAGTGGGTGGGTAGCTAGGGGGGGGAGGAAGGGTGGGTTATTTGGGGGGTGGGGGGCAGGCTTACGCTGTGGAATGGAAATGAGGCTGGGTGATTTTCTCTTCCCCCCCCCTTCTCATTCGCGCGACGGCACCAGTGGTGTGACTCGGATTTGATGGGCTCCAGCCAGCAGCTCCGACCGTAGTGGAATTGACGTGCAAAAACCGTCCCGGCCTTCCGTGCAGCGCGGGCCGGGTTGGGGGTGGGCGGGCGGGTGGGTGGTTGGACGCGTGGGGAAGTCCAGGGCGGAATCAACATTTTTTGTATTTATTTGCACCGTTGATGGGGGGCCTGAGAGCGTGGCTCGGCTGCGACACTCGCCACGACTTCGGCTGCCTCTGCCACGCTCCCCGACGTCCGTTCCACGCCTGCGAGCGACGGTCGGCTGCTTTGCATTCACGAGCGGTCAGCGATCGCGTCGGCGGAGTCTCTTCCACCTTGCTCCGCTCGGCTCGGGAAACGCAATCGGCGCTTCAATGAATTTGGATGGACGCTTACTGCCCGCGTTGTTAAAGAATCAGAAAAGGTTCTGCGTTTTTGGGTCTGGCACCTTTCTTAACCCTCGATGCGTGTGTGTGTGTGTGCGCTGTGCGGCTTCATTTTTCGCCGTGTTCATTGATGAACGAGCGCGTGTTTCCGTGTCTCCATGCGTGAGTGTCCGTGTGTGTGTCTGTGTGTGTGTATATGTGTGTGTGTGTCTCTGTGTGTGTGTGTGTATATGTGTGTGTATGTCTCTGTGTGTATGTCTCTGTGTGTGTGTGTATATGCGGGGAGCGGTGGTGCAGCGGTTAGCGCGGTGGACTCGGGTTCGATTCCCGCTCACGGCCAACACCGGTGACGATTATTTGAACCGGTTCTGGGCCTCCCCCTAGGTAGACTCAGCCTCAAATGAGTACCTGGTGCCGCGTGTAAACATCGGCACGAGGGAGACAAAGGCAGGCAGACGTGGTGTTGGCCACCCGCCCCCTTCATAGGTGCTCGGTAACAGCGCTTGCTCCAACAGTCTGTTAAAGGCTCCAACACGGGGAGGCCTTTGTGTTTACGTGGATGAATCAAGTGAGTTCCAGCCTTTTGTGTGTTGAACTTTTGACGTTACTTTTTTTCTCATTAATTGATACGTGCAACAGTAAAGTGAATCCATCCTCAACATCATCATCATCATCCATATGTCAGTAAAATGAGAGCCACCGGATAAGACTGCACACCTGGGTGTTTGTTGTGTTTAGAAGATGAATGGTCTCGTCATTTGAAGGAGGAATTACCACCACATTTTTCACCTCAATTGAAACGGTGCATTTGAATCTTGACGAGAAATCTATTATGCGGCAACTTACATATGCGTGCATGTACGTAACACACACGTGTTAAATCACGTGTGAGTTTGTGTACGGTATCATAGTATACGTGTGATTTCGTTCTAAAAAAAAATCTTCACATTTTCGTCAACGTTACATTGTCTGTGATTGTCATTTGTTATGTTGCGTTATTGAGCGGTAATATATGTATTAGAGCTTCTGTACAGCAACGAACATACACGGTGCCTGGATTTGGTCACATGAGCTGAGGTATTTTTATGCATTTTTAAATTAAATGCCTTTTGTTGGCTGACAGTCGCTGTGAAAATGTGATTTAATGTTTTATTTTGCATCGATATTTACTGCAATCCCATGAATCGAGTCCACGATTTGATGTTTACTACAATATAAATCACTAAATATCGTGTGCACTAAGTATATACGTGTACAGTGTATATTAATGCACAGTTATATGACTTCTTGAACAAAAAATGTGACCAGAGGTAAATAATTTGCAATTAATTCAATTCACCGAATTGGACATGAACATTAGACGTCTGTGAACGTACGCTGTTATCAAACGAGCATTGCTATCGGAAATTACCAAATACTGTAAGCTTCAAATGCTTTCTTCTGATGTCTTATTTTGGGTTTCTCTGTTCTCAAAATGTTTGGAACGCCGCTCACACACACATTTATATATATCACCTCGTGCGTTGGGCATGCTGTGTAAACAGAGTGAAAAATCATTTGGCTAAAAAAAATTCTGCTATTCGTGCGGCTGCGGGAAATGTGGCGAAAATTGCTCATAAAAAAAACGTGATCGCACGTATATTGTTGGTGGCTATTTTTATCACATTAGTTTTTTTTTGCAATACGCTTCCAGAATATATTATTTTTCTTTCAAAAGCATATCGCATAAAATGTCCTAGCCCTTAAGATAATTGCACTCTTACCCATTAAACCACGAATGATTCTAATTCGGAGGTGTTGGGATGTTAATGGTAGGTTCTCAGTTCAGTCTGCGGTCTATTCAGTGATCCAGACATGATGGTTGGCGATGCACAGCAGACTGCATCAGCTAATACTGAATGTGACTCATCGCTGATAAATATATAACTGTGACATTCCTGTGTAAACAAGATTTTGCGGGCCCGATTATTTCCTGCGTTGGCAGAATCCACGTTCCCACCGCATTTCTGTTCGGAGATAGCCAGCTCATTATTGCAGTAGAAGATGCATATACCTAAGGAGGCCTTGTCTAAGCACACTTCTAATATACGTAACAGATGTGTGCTTGTATCGATATTCTACTGTAATTAATGTGTGCATGTATGTTGGGCTTCTTTCGTACCGTACGTAGCCAACTGTGTTAATTGGCGGTGCGGAGGCAGGACAATAAACCAAACAGCAAAAAGCAGAGAAATTAGTTTTCAGTCCAGAGTTTAAAGCGTATAGCTCCAGTGGCTTCCTAATATCGGAAGGAGAGAGTGCACGATGCAGTGACCTTCTTTGTTCGATGGTTAGCCCAGAGACGATGTCACTTTTCGACAAACACGAAACCACTTTAGTTCGTGCGAAGAATCATCCCAACCCATCCCCCCCCCCCAAAAAAAAAATATCCTTTATCTTGAAATCATTGTAGAGATAATACCCCAGGCTGCGAGTAACGTGTCATTTGACACGAGTTTGAAGTTTCATTAATGGGAAAACCGAATAAAATCATTGTCCGGAGTGCACTGTCAACACATCACTGCGGTAAACGAATAAACATTACCAGCATGATCAGCATCATGTCACATTGACATCACTGGAGCGATCTTGACTGTCATACGTACATAAAATAAATAGATAAAATCTCATCATCAAAACTTCAGACCGCTGTCAGACAGCTTGGGGGTGGATTTGCGGAATCAGAGCGACTTCTCTCGTGAGTTACAGCTTCCTTTAATGTCGAACGGTGACCTGAAACGGGGCACCCAGCGAGTTGCATTTAAAGGTGACCGTGGTGTGCGCGTCCCAGTGGGGAACTGTGGATCCATTCAATGCAAACAGAAATGAGATGTTTAATGCATTGCCGAATGTCCCCGCAGTTTATAAGCGAGCAAAGTCCATCGGAGGCTTACGCATTCCCTTTTACTCAACATTTGATCAGTAGTGAAATACAGTACAATTGCTACTCCTCGTGCTTCCAAAAGCTGCCAAATGGAGTTATTTAATTTATTCCATCAACGGTGTGGGAAGCTTCATTGTCTGCGTTGCACTGCATAGTCCTACCAGTCCTAACGGACATGTGATTAATCCACACAGAGCCACTGGGCTGTAACCCAACATTTTTTTCCAGTGACAGAGATACAATTGTTATAACCTGCTTTCATCCTCAAACGTAGCCTGAAACCTGGTCTGAATAGGACATGTCGGGATTCTATGGAGCCACGGTGGTGAGATGTTGACTACCTCGCCTGGTATGCTGGAGTCATGGGTTCGATCCCAACCCTGACGCCTGCTGTATATTTGGAGTTTGCATGTTCTCCCCGTGGTCGCGTGAATTTTTCACCAGGTCCTCCGGTTTTTCCCCTCCACATTTAGAATCAACATCACCACGCGTTTAGAGTACTTGGCTGCTGTTCATTTCCACGTGGTGATAAGCCGCCACTTCGTCGAGCGATCATTTGTGACAGCCAGGTCCCTGCTGAAAAAGAGCTACGTAGCTCAGCGGGAACCTTGCCTGGTGGAAAAACAAAAAACCAAAACGTAGTTTTAAACACACTCTTTGGTTCTTTCGGTAAAAGTCACGTAGGTATAAAATAGATAAAATAAACCCACGTGACTTTACCAAAAGATCCAAAGAGTATGGATTCCTGCAGTCACGAAAGCTTTAAATCAAGATCGTTGAAAACAGTTCTCGTCTCCGAGTGCGTTACGGATGTGCTTCTAAGTTCCTGTGTCGATGTTGCACATGGCAGTGACTACCTGGTGGAAGAGAAGAGCGTGGTGCTACAGAAGAAGGAGAGCGAGGGCTTCGGTTTCATCTTGAGGGGGGCGAAAGGTAGGGCGCCTCTTCTTTCATTGCGGCCACGTAAAAAGAAAACAATGACAATAGCAGTGCACGCGCCACGCCCGCATCACGTAGCGTGCCACTTTCGAAGGGACTTCATATATTTCACGTGTTAAATATGAAGGGGAAAACATTTGGAAAAGATGTTCCATTTTCATGAGAGCCTTTTTTTTCGGTTAGATCGCGTAAATGTCAGTGTCGTTAAACCCGCCACCACCCGACGCAGCCAATTAGTAAGGTTTGTAACGTTAAAAAAAAAACATGCCAATTAGTTACTAATTCAGCACACCGGTGTGTTGGAGAGTAAACACGCATTTCCAATTCGAGTGCGACGTTTCACCGGCTATTACAACCAGCCTCATCAGGCGACAGCCAGAATTGTTCCTCTTGGTGCGCATTAATTTGACGAGCTCATTTTCACGGTGACTTTGAGTAACGTGTAGCTGGATACCTGCCATCAGAATCTCGAATTTTCACCGCTGGCCGATGACAGCTAACAGAGGTGAACTTTACTCAACACGCGTCTGAGCAGGGATGCGGTGTCTTTTTTTATTTGTCTTTTTAACAATGACAAATACAGGTAAGCACACGACCAGGACGCTGTGAATCGTTACTTTTGTATGTTTTTTTTTTAAACATTCCGACTAAGGTTGAATATTTGTACATATTCACACATTAGCTGTCTCTGCTGTGTAACAAGAGGCATAATTACTTTGTTTAAAGATCATCCTATGTGAACGAATCTTTAGTAACTACAGCGACGGGTTGAACACATTGTAAAAAGAAGGCTAAAAAAGTTGGGCTCATGATGAATATCATGAAAACCAAAGTCATGTACAACACGTGTACTGAATAAAATACCTTAATACCTTAAAAGTTCAAGGGATATCACTGGAAAAATGAAACGGAGCGTGTTTATATGTAAATTGTTCAAAGGTAGACTAGCGTCACAATTATTAAATGAAGTCAAGCGTGAGCGGCCTGGAGCACTTGTGGAAAAATTACATTTTGATAATGAAAAAATCAAAACATGAATGTGGGTTAAAGAGTGAAGTTTATAAATGCGTGCCGTGACATGGATTTCATACGCGAGCACGAGACAAAGAAGATGAAACCAAAGAAACGTAGATAAATACATGCTGGCAATTAGCCTTAGAGACAGAGAGAGGAGCACATGGCTCAGAGAACAAACACGCCTTCGTGACACAGTACTGGCTCTTAAGAACAGTAAGTGTGGCCTTGGGCAGGACACTTAGAAAGGGATGATAGCCCATGGCTAGGAATGGTGACGGAATTACACCCAAAGACGGAGCTCAGCTGCAAACGACGCTCGCTCTGGAGATGTTATCTCGGTTTTTTTTATATTTATTTGAGCGCCTTCTTTCAAGGCGCTCGTCGACATAGTTTAAAAAAAATAAAATAAGCGACGACCGAATGGGTTGATTAAGATGGCACCGACGTACAAGGATTAAGGAACGAGTGACAGCGATAGAGGGGTACTTAGGGAGCACGAAAGAGGAGGTGAGCGACGGGAAGGAGTGGAGGGGCGAGGGGAGGGAAGAGAATTGGCAATGGAGATTTGAGGTACAGTGAAGGAATCTGCTCATGCAGTTCCCGCACCGCCGGTTTCTCATGGCTGGCTGTGCACGGTGCGAAAGAAGTTCAACGTACGAATACATACCTACAGGCGCAGCAGGGACAACAGGACTGTGTGTAAATGCACATCGATTCGCTGAAAACATTTTCGTACGTGTGGCACCACAGAACTTGGGTAGTTGTTGGTGGTGCCGTCTCAGCGCCCGGCGACTTCCGTCGAGCATGCCCGTGGATCCTCAGCGATCGTGAGACGCGTCTTGCGTGAACGATGACGCTGTCGAAAAACCAAACGTTTCAGCGTTGTAGGACCGTGAAGGGCAATTATAACGTGGCCAGGCCTGCGTTTGGCAATGGACAGGCCGTGGCTCTCGATGATGATGGCTATGGATTATGCAGCTTTATTATTTTTATTATAATTCTTGAAATGTCAGACACATGTCTTTTTTCATGAAATAATTTCCCTTTACGAGAGCACAAAATGCTTGGTAACATCGCGTTCATAATCAAGGTTTTTGGGTGAGATCGCTTAAGTATAAATGTGTCGTAACCCTCCACCACCCGACACAGCCAGTAAGGTGTGTGACGTAAACAACGCGCCAATTAGTTTTACTACTTCAGCCCACCGGTGTGTTGGAGAGTAAATACTTACGCGATTTAACTCAAAAAAACCTTTATTGTGAATAATATTGGTCGTGAGAGCCTACATGTTAAACATCATGTTGTAGTTCTGATGAAAGTACCACTTACATGGCAATTGTTTATGTCTGTGACATGATGAGGCTAACTCGCAAACTAAAACAACCTTCAACGGGTGTTGTTACCAAAGCGTGTTCTGTCTGTTGTGAAATAGACAGTAAATATAACGTGACGTAATTCGTGTAGGAAGAGCCTATCGTGTGCTCGAGTAATAACCCAAACGTGACAGTAATCCACAATCACATCAAAATCACATCACAATGAGAGTTTATCTTACCAAGTCGCCCTGCTTGGTGAAGACACAGTCACGTGATGCATGCCAAAGCTGCACGTGACCGGGTTTAGTGAAAACGATAAATTGAGACGCGCGTGCAAAAAACATTGTGTTTCAAGGGGACACACAGTGCGCTAGTTATGACAGGGCGACTTGATATTAGTTCCATCAATGGCACTTTGTAGGGGAAGTCAACAGTGGATAGACTAGACTGATCCCCTGCTCCTCCCCCTGACATAGGATTGTGAATTTCCACCACTGCTCAGGGCTTTAGGCAGGAGATGAGCGACAATGTTCATCTCCTGCAAGAAATCACATTTGCTCTACTTCGACTTGAAATGTGTTTTGCGAAAGTATTCTTGATTTACACGTTTCCCGCGCCGTTCAGGTGACCCGTGTGTCACCCTCCTCCGCACGTGATCTCGTGAGAGGTTACCCACCGATCACACAGTCGAATTTCTCCCGGATAAATAAAGATGGTCTGATTCTCAACAAAGGTGAGGATTCTGAGAATTGAGCACACTGACGTTTCAAACTTTCCGTAAAAGTTAACCCCCACGCTCAAAGAGGCATTGTTGAGTGGTAGCCATCTCCTGCGGCTGTTGTGAGCCAGTGGTTTAAATTCCATATCCCCATGCCAGAGACTGCCTACGGCCAGATGACGTGACTGATCACATCAGACCTCAGAAGCTAAGCAGGCGTTGAGGATGGATAGGCGCTGCCCTGGGCGACTGCCATGCACGACATAACAGGTGTCGTTGGTGTGGTGGAAGCAGTTGTGAGCAGGCCAGGAAAACCATTTATTATTCCGTAATCCCCCACTTGCACATTGAACAGTGTGGTGAAGTACGGACCAATAGCCCTCACGGCGTGCACGGCATTGTGATGCACGTGTCCAGCGGTGGATTGACAAATGGGTCGTGGAGTACTTGTACAGTCTTTACATAGGCAGACACTGCTGACCTTCTATGTTGTACTGCAGCCTCATGATGATGACTGAGGATGATAGAGGATGATCGATCGAAGATAATCGAAGATGATCGAGGATGACAGAGTGTGATAGGGTGTGATAGGGTGTGATAGGGTGTGATAGAGGGTGATAGAGTGTGATAGTGTGTGATAGTGTGATAGAGGGTGATAGAATGTGATAGAATGTGATAGAGGATGATAGAGTGTGATAGAGTGTGATAGAGTGTGATAGAGTGTGATAGAGTGTGATAGTGTGATAGAGTGTGATAGTGTGTGATAGAGTGTGATAGAGTGTGATAGAGTGTGATAGAGTGTGATAGAGTGTGATAGAGTGTGATAGAGGGTGATAGAGTGTGATAGAGTGTGATAGAGTGTGATAGAGGATGATAGTGTGATAGAGTGTGATAGAGTGTGATAGAGTGTGATAGAGTGTGATAGAGTGTGATAGAGGGTGATAGAGTGTGATAGAGTGTGATAGAGGGTGATAAAGTGTGATAGAGTGTGATAGAGTGTGATAGGATGTGATAGAGTGTGATAGAGTATGATAGAGTATGATAGAGTATGATAGAGTGTGATAGAGTGTGATAGGGTATGATAGCGTGTGATAGAGTGTGATAGAGTGTGATAGAGTGATAGAGTGTGATAGAGTGTGATAGAGGGTGATAGAGTGTGATAGGGCATGATAGCGCGTGATAGCGTGTGATAGAGTGTGATAGAGTGTGATAGAGGATGATAGAGTGTGATAGAGTGTGATAAAGGGTGATAGAGTGTGATAGAGTGTGATAGAGTGTGATAGAGTGTGATAGGATGTGATAGAGTGTGATAGAGTGTGATAGAGTGTGATAGAGTGTGATAGTGTGATAGAGGGTGATAGAGGGTGATAGAGGGTGATAGAGTGTGATAGAGTGTGATAGTGTGATAGCGTGTGATAGTGTGATAGAGTGTGATAGAGTGTGATAGGATGTGATAGAGTGTGATAGAGTGTGATAGAGTGTGATAGAGTGTGATAGTGTGATAGAGGGTGATAGAGGGTGATAGAGTGTGATAGAGTGTGATAGAGTGTGATAGAGGATGATAGTGTGATAGAGTGTCATAGAGTGTGATAGAGTGTGATAGAGGGTGATAGAGTGTGATAGAGTGTGATAGAGTGTGATAGAGTGTGATAGAGGGTGATAGAGTGTGATAGAGTGTGATAGAGTGTGATAGGATGTGATAGAGTGTGATAGAGTATGATAGAGTGTGATAGAGTGTGATAGAGTGTGATAGGGTATGATAGCGTGTGATAGAGTGTGATAGAGTGTGATAGAGTGAGAGAGTGTGATAGAGTGTGATAGAGTGTGATAGAGGGTGATAGAGTGTGATAGGGCGTGATAGCGCGTGATAGCGTGTGATAGAGTGTGATAGAGTGTGATAGAGGATGATAGAGTGTGATAGATTGTGATAAAGGGTGATAGAGTGTGATAGAGTGTGATAGGATGTGATAGAGTGTGATAGAGTGTGATAGTGTGATAGAGTGTGATAGAGGGTGATAGAGGGTGATAGAGTGTGATAGAGTGTGATAGTGTGATAGCGTGTGATAGAGTGTGATAGAGGGTGATAGAGTGTGATAGAGTGTGATAGAGGATGATAGAGTGTGATAGAGTGTGATAGAGGGTGATAGAGTGTGATAGAGTGTGATAGAGGGTGATAGAGTGTGATAGAGGATGATTGATAGTGTGAGAAAGAGTGTGATAGAGTGTGATCGAGGATGATTGAGAGAGTGTGATAGAGTGTGATAGAGGATGATAGTGTGATCGAGTGTGATAGATTGTGATAGTGTGATAGAGGATGATGGAGGATGATAGAGTGTGATAGTGTGATAGTTAATGATTGATAGAGTGTGATAGGGTGTGATAAAGTGTGATAGTGTGATCGAGGATGATTGATAGAGTGTGATATAGTGTGATAGATGATGATAGAGTGTGATAGAGTGTGATAGAGGATGATAGAGGGTGATCGAGGATGATGGAGGGTGATTGATCGAGTATAATCGACCAAAGATGATTGAGGATAATAGAGAATGATGGGAGGATGATCGCAATGACAATATTGATGACGGCTCAGTATTGGCTGCGATGTTACACTCACGTCATTTCAATGACGAGCCCTTCAACTTCATTGATAAATTAAGTCATATTAATGCTTTTACATCAAGTGCACACGGGCAACGGTGTGTAAATGTTAACCCTCGAAGCCGGGTGCAATAGAACTAAGTGAAATGACTGCACCTCGTCCTTCACTCATCAGTGACTGGTCTCAGAACATTGCACCAACTCCACACGAGCCACCCAGCCGCCTCAAAGACAAAGATCCCCCGTGTAGCCTTAACAGACTGTAGGGGGCGAGTGCTGCTGGCGAGCACCTACGAAGGCCGGCACGGCACACGATGGGGTGGGTGGCCAGCACAACGCCCGGCCGCCTTTGTCTCCCTAATGGCGATGTTTACACACCACACCAGGCACTCACTTGAGGTTGAGTCGACCTAGAGGAGGCCCAGGACCGGTTCACACACACGCGCACACCACACGGTATTGTACGGGTAATTTAATCGTAGGGTCATTGCGTGACGATCGAAGATGGTTGAGGATGTCGCAACCCAATTGGCAACATTTCACAGTTAGCAACGGCTCAACTAATTGTAAATTATAACGACTGCATTTGTATGCCAATGTATGAATTTGGGTGGAGCAGTAGTTGATTCACTGCGCTATGAACCCGCCCATCTGAGTTTGACTTTCTGGCCACGGCTAACATGAGTGGCGAGTGATGTCTAAACCAGTCATCGACCTCCTCTTGACAAATATTCACTGAATCCAGCGTGGTGAAGTATGGTCAAACAACCCCCCACGACGAAAAGACGTGGTGAGGCCTTCATATGGCAGTGGATTGCTACAGCTACATGGTAATGCATTTTTAATTCAAACTATTGTTTTTCCACTTGAATGACCGTGAGAAGACACCCGTCCTGTTTACAGCCCTGATCCAGTGGTGAGAAAGAGTCTATTCAAAGGGCAGACACTGTTGACTTCCCACAATGCATTACTAAGTTCACCAACCACAGGGTTGAGTCCATCCCCAACTGGGAATTGAACTCACAACCTTCGGGTTGTGATTGACACCGTCCTAACCGTGCCATTCAGCTAGATTTATGGTTTTAATTACTTTTATTTATACCGATATACCTAATGCCTGTTCATATGAAACTGTCTGTTTACTAACTCCCTTTTAGCAGTGTCTCTATAGCATTACATTGCACACCGCTGTTGTCGACCATGACGTCACGTTGTACCTTTACTCTGAAGAAGAGTCATTCGCCCGCAATGTCGCCTTCATCATGTACCCTTCTGTTGCAACACAGCGTCCGCTAATGACAACGTTGGCATCGTATTGTCAGCGCAACCTAAATGCAGCCTCAAATGAGAGAGATAATGCCAACTCACGCGGCTTAAATAAAGCGTACAGCACTTGGAAATGTACAGGCGTAAAAATTCCGACACGTGGACTCGCTGCCACGTTTGGCTGACACTGTGGCTGGCTACTTGGTCTTCCTCTTTTCTGCTTCCCCCGCCCCCCCCCCACCGTCCACTGCCATTACCTCTCCACCCTCCCCTCCCCGATGCCATCCCCCGCCCCCCACCTTCCCCCCCCCCCCGATGACCAATCACAGCCGATGTTCCCATCGAGGAGTTCACCCCCACGCCCGCGTTCCCGGCCCTGCAGTACCTGGAGGCCGTGGATGATGGAGGGGTGGCGGCACAGGCCGGCCTTAAGACTGGGGACTTCCTCATTGAGGTAAGATTTTGAAATCCGCAAGAAGAGCCCTGGGATTTATTCCCCGCTGGGTGCGCCTTCCAGTGTCGAGTTTTACATGTTCTCCCGACTGTTCTGCGTGGGTTTCCTCCCGAGTTTCCCCCCCCCCCCCCAGTTTCCTCCCATAGCTGAAAAAAAATGTTGCAAAGGTTGCCTGAAAATTACTCGGCGTCACACGTTGCAGCAACATCGGCCCCCTTACTACTACGAAAACTTGGCAGGATCCTTCGTGAGAAAGAGTCCTTGGTAAACTAATGTCATGGTAATAATACGCATTTGGTTGTGTTCGTGGTAATGGGAATTACACCACGGAACACTGAACCTGACATACTCGGTACATTTAACATCAGCATCACATGTGCTTTTGAAGCAGGTTAGAGCGTGGCATAACTGAGCTCATTTAGTCACTGCGTCTCATACAGCTGCATTGTTCGTGTAACTCAAACATCATGGAATTACTCATTCCTCCGGGATCCAGTATCCCAACAGTGTCACCACTGCCGTTGCATTACAATGCAACTGTTTGTATTGGCGGATCCCCTTCAATCTTGATTTGAAGCTTTCGTGACTGCAGGAATCCATACTCTTTGGTTCTTTCGGTAAAGTCACGTAGGTAGAAAAATAAAAGAAAAAAATATTTTATTTTTCTACCTACGTGACTTTATCGAAAGAACCAAAGAGTATGGATCCCCTTCAATCAGCGAAGAGTTGCGTCTTAGTGTCATGGAACGACTTCAATGGGCCTCTGTTAACAATGCTCCTTTGCAATCAACGAAATGCGGTTCGCCAAGTGTTGGCCATCAGACATTTCAGCTCTCACGACTGGGCTGCACCGAATAAGTGAAAGTGGAATGTATGAGGTGAGCAGGAAGGACCATTACTGACCCATCGGAGTTCCTTTATGCATGTATTTTGAACTTATTTTGCACCATACGTAGCCAACCGTGCTAATCGGAGGTGCGGGAAACCAGGAGGGATGCCTTCACTTTCTTGCCCACCCTGTGTATTCATCGGATGCTGAGCCGAGATCATCAGATTCACCGCACCTTTGAGCCACGGATGGCTGTTGATGGCCCTGAGCCAGTGGTGGAAATTCACAATTCCCACATAATGGACCATTCTCTCTGACAGCCACAGTTCATCTACCAGAAATTGGTAGCCAATGTATTAATACCAGATTGATGATTGGCTCGACAGACCTTCGAGCAATATCTGTAATCTCAACCTTCGGAAATGTGAGACAAGTTCTTTTGACCGTTTCACCAACTGGGCAGATTTTTTTTTATGGAGCGAAAACCCCCAAACAACCTCCTGTTCATAAACACCGGGAGAACTGCATAGACCGTGAATTCCCGATGAACACTCTGAAACATTGACAAAGTTTTGACTGGTGGCAACTCCGTTTAAATTATTCAAATCTGAAATTGAAACACTTGAGGTTTTTTTTTTTTTTCCACGAAATTATTATTGCAGTGCCAGGCAGTGCCGCGGATGAATCTGCATTGCTGTGGCTGATTACATCCTTGTGAATTATGAGCCCCGAGATTCCACAATTTTATTTGGTCCAATACCAGCGTCCGCTGTCGTGCGAAAATAAATGTGCCAGACTCGACATTGATGTAAAACCCTATCAATAACCTACCCCTGAAAACTTATTTTGCAAATGTTAATATTTCAGGATTGTGTAAATGCCAAGGACAAACTTTGTTAAAAAAAAAAATTACATCAGCCGGGTAGGCTGAGTTTTTCCTCACAACTTTCTACAGCGCTAACTAACTTCCTTCGTCTGGTCACATGGTGGCTTCTGAGATATGTGCGCCAACTTTCCTGTGGGAGCAGGAAATTTACACTTAACATTTCAGCGTCCTCATCCTTACCGAAAAGGTCAGTGTCTTTTTTTGATAAAAAAATGTTAAATATTAGACGCCGAGGGAGTTGTTTAAACTTTACTAAACGATTTTGTGAGTGTAGATGTTCGCACAAGGGAAAATTAAATTACCTGCATGGATAATATCGATGCAGTACCTGGCACGTTTATATTTAAAATATTGAATAACGTTTAACATAAATAAAAGTTGTGTGGGAAGAAAAGTTACCCAGCTGAAATAGCCTTTTTCTGAAACCCAAAACACGGTCAGCGTTTGACCAACCGTGGCTTTAAATCGTTACAAATACCTCTCAGGAAATAAGATGACAATATTGTATATGTGAAAATATAATAGAGTATATTTAGCAGACTAAAAGACAGCCCAGCAAAGAGTTGTAAATTGCAAGCAACAGAGGGCATAAACACCTCGCTGCCATTGTCATTAATCCCATATTTAATACTCACAACCATTTACAGCCTTCGGCCAGGAGAGTAATGAAAACAATTGCACACGAACGACGCATTCACGCAAGCACACGATGCTCCGTTCCGTTTTGAAGTTTTAAAATGAAACATCTTTGAATTGTATTATGTTTTGAATTAGATAATTGTATTTCTTCATTAAAAGCTTATACCATTTTACATCTGGAAGACTTAATTGAAAAGGACATTTCGTGTGAATTTTCTCTCGTCGTTGAGTAGATGATGGCCTTGCTGGGGGTTTGGTTCAATGCAGACTTTCACCTGTTTTGGATTGCGGGATCGAGATAAGGCGACGTAGAGCTGCTGGCCGTGCGAGAAGACCGCCGTCTGCAGATCGATTCCAACGTAATCGAGCGTCTGTCCCTGCGCCTCCGTCGTTCATGTAGGGGGCGCGTGTAGGTTTGCAGCGCCCCCTGCAGGAAAACGACGGAAGGTGCAGCGTTCATCACAGATAAATAAAGTTATGCGCTTATATAAGAGTATGAAAAATATAAACACCTCTGATCATTGCAATTAATCCTATCTTAAATATGATAATGTGAATGCGTATCTAGATGTATACAATCATAGCTGTGTGTGTAAATATATAATGAGTCATCCAGACGAAGATTGAGGTGAACAGGGGCGGAGCCAGGGGGGGGGGGTGACAGGGGGTGACATTCTGCGTGTGAGTGTACGACACTCGGTCTGGCGGACCCCGTGCAACTGCATTGTCAGAGTGTGTCGCCAACCGATGGCGTCTAGTTCAACAGCCTGACTCTCTCTTAATCATTCTTGAAATTAACATTTGTTTGAATGTCACCCCGGCCTGAAATCCTGGCTCCGCCCCTGGAGGTGACACACACTGCTTGATATTTTCCACACAAGCTCACACCACGTGCCACCACTCTGCTCCAAATCCCACCAGGAAGCTGCCCCCCGATCGCCCCGCCTCATCCGGTGACGTCACAACTATCTCTCCTCCTGGGCGTTCCCTCTCTCTCTCACGCCCCGCCTTATCTTTCATTTTCTTCGCTACGTCATCTTTAACTGTAACCTGGGATCCCCGTGGGTATTTCTACCCCCCAGTATTAGCACTACACATATACAGTGGGGGAAAAAAAGTATTTGATCCCCTGCTGATTTTGTACGTTTGCCCACTGACAAAGAAATTATCAGTCTATAATTTTAATGGTAGGTTTATTTGAACAGTGAGAGACAGAATAACAACAAAGAAATCCAGAAAAACGCATGTCAAAAATGTTATAAATTGATTTGCATTTTAATGAGGGAAATAAGTATTTGACCCCCTCTCAATCAGAAAGATTTCTGGCTCCCAGGTGTCTTTTATTCAGGTAACGAGCTGAGATTAGGAGTACACTCTTAAAGGGAGTGCTCCTAATCTCAGCTTGTTACCTGTATAAAAGACACCTGTCCACAGAAGCAATCAATCAATCAGATTCCAAACTCTCCACCATGGCCAAGACCAAAGAGCTCTCCAAGGATGTCAGGGACAAGATTGTAGACCTACACAAGGCTGGAATGGGCTAGAAGACCATTGCCAAGCAGCTTGGTGAGAAGGTGACAACAGTTGGTGCGATTATTCGCAAATGGAAGAAACACAAAAGAACTAGGAATAGGTTTTACCCTTTTAACTGGCACAAAAACTGACACCTTTATTCAAGGCATCATGTTTGCAATAACCACAACACAAGCAGTCAAAATGCAAACAAAAAAGACAACTCTGATAATAATATGCACTGTCCTTGAATTTGATTGGTCCACACCCGAGACAGCTTTTCTTAGAGCCAAGTCTCCATTGGTGTTGGACCAGAAGACGCCAAAAGGTGTACAACTCAAAAACAGCGCACTATCAGAGTATTGAGGGCTCGGGGTGAGCATTAACATTATGAGACCTCCTTTGCCAGAAACAAGATATGAGAATAGGTTTTACCCTTTTAACTGGCACAAAAAATGACACCTTTATTCAAGGCATCATGTTTGCAATAACCACAACACAAGCAGTCAAAATGCCTTGAATAAAGGTGTCAGTTTTTGTGCCAGTTAAAAGGGTAAAACCTATTCCTATATCTTGTTACTGGCAAAGGAGGTCTCATAACACAAAAGAACTGTCAATCTCCCTCGGCCTGGGGCTCCATGCAAGATCTCACCTCGTGGAGTTGCAATGATCATGAGAACGGTGAGCAATCAGCCCAGAACTACACGGGAGAATCTTGTCAGTGATCTCAAGGCAGCTGGGACCATAGTCACCAAGAAAACAATTGGTAACATACTACGCCGTGAAGGACTGAAATCCTGCAGTGCCCGCAAGGTCCCCCTGCTCAAGAAAGCACATATACATGCCCGTCTGAAGTTTGCCAATGAACATCTTAATGATGCAGAGGACAACTGGGTGAAAGTGTTGTGGTCAGATGAGACCAAAATGGAGCTCTTTGGCATCAACTCAACTCGCCGTGTTTGGAGGAGGAGTAATGCTGCCTATGACCCCAAGAACACCATCCCCACCGTCAAACATGGAGGTGGAAACATTATGCTTTGGGGGTGTTTTTCTGCTAAGGGGACAGGACAACTTCACCGCATCAAAGGGACGATGGACAGAGCCATGTACCATCAAATCTTTGGTGAGAACCTCCTTCCCTCAGCCAGGGCATTGAAAATGGGTCGTGGATGGGTATTCCAGCATGGCAATAACCCAAAACACACGGCCAAGGCAACAAAGGAGTGCCTCAAGAAGAAGCACATTAAGGTCCTGGAGTGGCCTAGTCAGTCTCCAGACCTTAATCCCATAGAAAATCTTTGGAGGGAGCTGAAGGTTCGAGTTGCCAAACGTCAGCCTCGAAACCTTAATGACTTGGAGTAGAGCTGCAAAGAGGAGTGGGACAAAATCCCTCCTGAGATGTGTGCAAACCTGGTGGCCGACTACAAGAAACGTCTGACCTCTGTGATTGCCAACAAGGGTTTTGCCACAAATGAACTAAGTCATGTTTTGCAGAGGGGTCAAATACTTATTTCCCTCATGAAAATGCAAATCAATTTATAACATTTCTGACATGCGTTTTTCTGGATTTTTGTTGTTATTCTGTCTCTGACTGTTCAAATAAACCTACCATTAAAATTATAGACTGATCATTTCTTTGTCAGTGGGCAAACGTACAAAATCAGCAGGGGATCAAATACGTTTTTCCCCTCACTGTATAATGCTCCTTGAAGCATACACACTGAGTCTGGTAAGGAGCGGTGGCTCGGAGTGCATGATTTAGTGAGTTAGTGGGTGACACGTAAAAATAGGATAGATAGTGCAAATCCAAGGCGTGTGTATTGTCTTATTTTGGTTCTGCAATGAGGTAAGAATGCGTAGGTATGCTGCCATGGCGTTACGTTTCGCACACGGGATTTCCAGTACCGGGGGATCGCAGGATTGATTCGATTGCCCGGCACGGCTGTTGAAACAATGGTGCGAGGATTGTTGTTTGTTTCCCTGTATTTCTCTCCATCCAGCAGTATAAATGGGTTACACCGCAGTGAGTCGATGGGCAGGTCACATGCTGTGGGGTAAAAGTGTGCATACTGCCACTTGTTCCGAAACGTTTAGGCAATGTAGAAGAGTAGGCCAAATATCCTCTAGACATCCTCTCTAGGGGTGCCCCTCAGATGGAGGCAATAGCAGGGCTGCACCTTTATACTTTATTAACGCACGGGAGTAGGTTTCCACCTGGTGCATAACAAGTAAATGAGCCATATGCAGAGCAGTTGGAGGTGGCAACTATCATTCTAACTTCTTGTTGGATGAAGAATATTGTATAGTATTGCCTGGGAATGGTTTTGAAATAGAGTCGGCTGGTGTATAAAACATTTTCCTGCCAGTAGATATTGGACAGCGAGCAAAACCCTTCTAAAAAGGTATTAAAAATGAACGCGTCGACATAGCAGAATTTAAAAGTGCAAAACTGAACCACTGGACGTCAAAGAGTCGCATTTCCTGTGTGGATTCACCTGGACTTCTGTCACGTGTTGAAATGTATCAATGTGGCCATTCAGAGATTTGGCTGAGTGGCACTGGTTAAGAACATTGACTTTACATTAACCCTTTCCCATTCCGATGACGTACGTGTACGAAAAACTAAACTAAAATAACTCTATCGGTACCGAGGCTCCCACAAGACCATGCGGGATGGCGTGTGGCACAGACTGGCGTCAGCTATCATAGAGTGCGGTCGTGTCGCTACTGTTCTCTGCAGTGAGTTTGGTGGCTTTCAAAACAACGGGGCTACTCCTCTCTGAGTAAAATTAACGCGAACCCGCTAGCGCGTTCGGGACGGGAAAGGCTTTCGCGAGTACGAAACCGCTGGGCATAAAAACAATCCCCATCATCTCTGCCGAATTGCTAAAATAAGTACCACTACCGCGCTAGGCTCATTTCTTCGATGATCGTTTTTGGGTTGTGCCACCCGTCGCTCTCGGCGCGATGTCCGACGTTTCGCTCCACGTACTGGGAGCTTCTGCAGGATACCGAAATCTGAAGAAGCCCCCAGCATGTGGAGAAGAGTGGCGCAACCTTGCATGCAGTGTACAGTGGCCATCCTAGGGGCACACAGGCCCACGCCCAAAGGAATGTGGAATATTCGCCAATGTCTCGGGGCCACCAATCAGGGATGAGTATCTCGACGACTTTCATTTGTCAACGGAATCATTTGCAAATTGGCTGGAGAAGTCGATTTTAATAGATGCGAGACGGTCAGAAATACATGGGGAGTGAAATGTCTTACCATGTCCACAGCAGAGGTGAAGTGTCCATCCATTGCACAAGCAGCGATTGCCATAGCACTATTGTATGCGTACGATTATTGCTTGAGCGTTTATAAAGGGCATCGATTGTGTGAGCATTGATGAATGAACGTTGAGAGAAGAGACGGTATTATTTATGAGGACCCCCCACCCCACCATTCCGCGCGAGATGAAATCGGAGTGGTAATTAGGAGCGCGTCCGCGTGCAGGATTTCAAAGAATCGGATATCAAGATTCGTTGTCTTTGTAACGGAGAACGGAACATCGAGCGGAGGACGTTGAGGACTGCGTGTTGCGCGGTTCCATTTTAAGCACTGCCCGACTTCTTAAAATGAGCGTCGCAAGTTCTTTGATGCGGCTTAAAAGAAGCCGGCAGTACAGCGGCTTGTTTCCCCGGGGAGTGAGTGGGGGGGGGTGTGATTCACTCACCAACCGCACCGCATCGCACGCACGCACCTCGCCACGATCCCACACGAGGGGGGCTCTTGGGCCGACCGCACTGAACCCCCCGAGCATTGTTTTCATCCCCCCCCCCCATATTTATAAACGCCGCCCACCTCTCCGGCGCCAGAGGCACCCGAGTGCGAAAGCCATTACGCGCGTGACACGTGCACATTACAAGCGCGTCGCGGAGCAGACCGGCGCAATTTGATGGAACAAAATTGAACCGGTTTGACGGAAAAATGTGCACGCCCGGACGTCAAAATGACATTGGTGGTGGTGGGGAAGGGGGGGGGGAGTTTGCATTTTTTTTTTAGGTGCCAAACATTACTATTTCCGTCAGATTGTCAAATGAAAATTGCTTTGATAGTTTAAATGAAACGGTACATATTTTGTTTTATTCCCACCGATGGGTAACTTTTTTTTTACACACTTAGTTAATTTTTCTTTTTTATGAGCTGCATAACAAAAAAAAAAGTATTTGAACAGACGTGTAAAAGCCCCTTGTGTGTCCGAAGGTTTTTTTTTGTGTTCTACAATTTGATCTCAGTTATACCACCGATGTTAGCCGCAGAAGAAAGCCAGGTTGAGTTGTTTTTTTTATTTTATCGCGGCTGATGAGAGACACGGAAGGACATCTATTTGTAGTAGCCGTAGGTGGAGTTTCAATTGAGTTGTTATTTGCCTTCCTCCGGAGAATATTATTTGACACTTGCCATCGTGGCTGTCGTCAAGTCTCGATGCCTTGAAGAGCAACGCGATGGGCACTCCACCTCCGTTGCTGTGGCTCTTGAGCCAATGGTTTGCTCTTGATCCAGTGTTGGCTCGTGAGCCATTTGTGGAAATGACACGTTCCCGTTTCCATAGCTGTTCTCTTCTTTGACGCGTGTCGCGACGGGTACTGCGAGATCCGACCGTGTCTGTCCAGTGCTCGCCAAGCTGCATTGGTTTCCGGTGGCCGAACGAATACCTTGTAAGGTCTCACTCATTACACACAAAGTGCTTGCCGCAAATGAACCACAACACCTTGCGGATCTTGTCAAGGAGCATGAACCATCACGCGGCCACCGCATCAAGCGCTTTTAGATGCGCTTTTAGATGCGCTTTTTCCGCCATCTGTAATGCTCTTCATTTCAATATTAGGAAGCCACTGGAGCTTATTCACTTTTAAACATAGATTAAAAACGAATTTCTTTCGAACTGATTTGCGTTTATATTCTTAAAATGTATATTGTATTATTTGTATTGTTTCCCTTCAACGTGACTTTACCGAGAGAGCTAAGAATATGAATTACTGCAGTCACGAAAGCTTTAAATCAAAATTTCAGTTCAACATACTTACATACAAGACCTTCTACCCCAACAAGGTTGATTTGACCCCGGACCACTGTTTGGAATCGCAGCCTTACGATTGCGAGTGAAGATCTTTAACCACAGCGACACGGTTCTGGATGACCCTGCGTAGATCTAGAATCAAAGTATGTGGACGTACGGTGCGAAAGAAGTTCAACATACATACATGCATAGCCGTTTGTCCATCCTCTACTGGATGAGGGTCACTCTATGCCTTGTAGGCCTTGATAGATAGTTGACTGTACTTCACGCTGGTCAAGGCAGGGTGTGTGTGCATTAATCTCACCCTTTATGCGTCGAGGTCAATGCTGTACTCACAGGCACGAGCGTTTGTAACATACGTACATTTTAACAATGAATTTCCTGTTTGCGTGACCTCAAATTATCCTTGATACTGATGAGCTCACAACAAGGAGACAACTGTATCTTCCCCATACCGTGGGAGTTTATCTCATTGGCTAGAGTAATATTTTTGGCTATTTTTGGGTAAAAAACAAACACAGGAAACCTGACAAAGTATGCGATCTTAACTTAAATAAAAAATCGCTCAGTTAAAATCATTGAAAAGTAATAGTGCAACAACAACCAAATAGTCACAAAACTGACATTTCATTCAATTATACAAATATATTTCCCCTACCAGCGATTAGCTCGGTTGGCTTCGTATAGTGCGAAAGAAATCCAATATACATACAGACCTAATAAAAAAAAGACATTATTTTACCTTATGGCGGGACCCCGGGGTCCCGAATAAACGGAAGTCAAAATCGTAATTAATTTATTTTTGGCGACTCCGTTCCACCGCGCACATAAACGCCGTGACCCACCTGGCGCGGATCGTTCTGTTGTCGTGTCGTGTCCAAGCACAGCGGCGAGGACGAATGCGCAGCAGAAACAAAACTTTTAAACTCCGATTAGCGCATCGTGTAGAGCTCGTCGAGAGGAATAGATCGCCGTGTCGTTCGCCTTCAACAGACGTAAAATGACGTCGCAACTAAGTTTATGCGAGAGCCGGGGGCTTATGGGACCCCGGGGTCCCGCCACGAGGTTCAATTATAATTAATAAAAATGAGCCCTAAGAATGCCGACTTTGATGTGGCACAAACCATGCATGGTGATACCACCCACATGGCAGGCAGTGAGGTACCTTTGAGCGCCAGTACAGCAAATAGTTTGTTGCAGGCTTGTGTGTAGTTTGCATGCGCCCCCTTCGGTATTTGTTGATTCTCTTTCAACACTCTATGTACGTTAAAAAAAAACTTCTAAAATAAATATGCAAAAAATCCCAGACAGGACTTTGTTGAAAAGATGCTTAGTCCTCAGGGAGACTTTCTGAGAAGGTAAAGAAAAAATGCAAAGAGTTATATATATTTTTTTCTGAAATGCGATTGAAATCAACCAAACCATCGATGTAGCTTTAGAACAACAGAGTTGACTAGAACACATACAAATGTTACACATTTTGCTATTTTAGTGTAAAATATTACTTGTGTAGATTTATTTTTAAAATGGACACGCACATAATTGTGAAAAATATTGCACTGAAATGTGTAGGACTGTTAAATTGGGCACGAGGAAGATTAAAGGTTTGAACGTTGACTACTTTGCATTAAATCTTCGGCTCACCATTATCAATCCACTACGGTGGATCATGAATATATGCATAGCTACATATAGTCAGGCATTTAAACAATTATTCAAAGTGCATATAAATTGTTTGACATCGCAGAAACAGCAGTTGACTGGCACGTACAGAGATTTCCTCATAACGTTTACTCTGCATTTGCTTTATTTACTGTGGATCACACAAAACAAAGACACACACTGCGTCATTGTAACTATCACGGTTGTAAAGTATCACTGCAGAAAAAAAACACTTCACTGTTCAAGTCAACTTATTGAGACCTCGACAGCCATGCAACCACAGACTGACTTTAGTTATAACTGGGACTTGATACCGAACACAATGCCATCTTACATTTTGTATTCTGGCTTGGCCATCAATCTGTCTCCGTAACTCAAATTGTCATGGGTGCTGCTCATCGTTATTGGTAGCCCTGAAGCCATGGGGGAGAAATTTCACATCCCTGTGGTGGGAGGGCCCAGTCTATCCATTGGACGACCACTGCTGACTCCCAAAGAAATGGCACTAATTCTCTTGACCCCAGAGGGATGGTGAGCTCAGTTAATCTAACTATATGCTTTGCTGCCATAAACCCCATGTGTGTGCGTGGACTGATCGTCTCCTGGAGCTGATAAAAGCTAAATCCTTGGCCGCCTTGAAAACCATGTTTATTTATGAAGGTGCTTGGCCAATCCTTTAGGCGTTAGCTATTTTTGATTTGTGTCTTAATTCCAACAGTATTGCTTTCATATATGTCGCCTCCGTTTGACATTTTTGTTGCATCTTAATATTACGGTTGCATGAATTAAATATACAGTACGGTCAACCCTCGGTCATCCAGGATAATAGGGGAAGGGAGAGCTCGGATTAAGTAAATCAGATGCAAAGCAGGCTTCAAAAATGTATGTGTTCTTCACTTACATGGAAGAATGGGGGTGTAGACATGCAATGTGTCGTGTTTTATTGTTACGTACGTGTGTACGTTGAACTTCTTTCGCACCGCACGTAGCCAACCGTGCTAATCGGAGGTGCGGGAAAATGAAACATAAATGATATAAAAAGTATATAAATTAATGAGACCTGGAGTCACGAGTGTAGGCGTAGCTAATAAGATAATAAAAGGAACGAACATGTTCCTGGATAAAGGAACGAACATGTTCCTGGATCAAAAAACATGTTTTTTTCTTCACTTGTGTACATTTTTCCACAAGCATAGCTCATCTGTACCCCGGATAATCCACACGTGGATAATCGAGAGTTTCATTCTAGAGGCGTTATAATCAATGCATTTTTTTGTCATCGCTGGCTTATGCATTTTGTAAATTACGATCATGATGGTGATGAGTTGCAGAAAATATGGTTATTCGTGAAACATTCACATGGGGTAATCTATTTTTGAAAATGCATCTCAGATTGGTAGCCGTCTATCTATTTAAACACAGATTCCAGTTTTTTGTAAAGTAATACCGTGGAGCAGACATTGGCAGCTGAGTGTCAACTTTACACCAGCTTTGGGATCTAGCAGAGGAATCCAAGTACTCTAAATGCCCATAATAGAGTTTTTTTAGGTTAGATCGCGTAAAAATAATTGCCACCACCCGACACAGCCAATTAGTAAGCTTTGTCACGTGAACAAAACGCGCCAATTCTTTACTAGTACAGCACATCGGTGTGTTGCAGAGTAAACCCACAACATTCGCAAATCGAGTATGACGTTTTGCAAGTAATTACAATTGGCATCACCAGGCGACAGCTAGAGTTGTCGTCTGATGATGCTAGTTGTAATTACTGTTAATTATTGTCCTTGCCCCACCGTAGTCGATTGTCCTTCCCCCGCACCTCCGATTAGCACGGTGGGCAACGTACGGTGCGAAAGACGTTCAACACACATACACAGTGTGCTGGCCTCAATAGCATTGGCTCTGATGACCCCACTATGATAACCACCACAAGTTACAACACTGGACCGAAGGGCAAAACTGATAACCGTGCACTCTTTAGTGGACTGTGCACATCGCGAGACATGGAAACACCCTTGAGAAAGAGTCGGGGTGGTCTAAACCGATCCCCCCAAAAAAATTGTTTCAAAA